ATGACATTCTGGAACAGTGTTAATCGGTTTACACCCTGGGTTAATCGGTTAACCACTGTTAACGTTTGAAAATTTTGAAAGTTTGAATTGGTTAACCGGTTAACGCCAGGGGTTAACCGATTAACACTGTACCAGAAGCAGAAAAACAGCAGCAGAACAACATTTTTCAGCACATAAACACTTATTCAAACATACCAATGATCACATAATCAATTAAGCACGAACTTAAACCAACAAATCATGATTCAAACAACATGTAAACATGATACAACAGTGAAATCAACATTCAAACAGATAAAATCAACAACAATTCAATCAAATATGAAGATTCACATGATGAACATACAAATAAGCTCGAAAATTAAATCGGATCAGAAATCCAACCTACGAATCAGAGAATTTATTCGGTAATTGTTGATTCAACCGTAAATGTGAAGATCCAATGCAAGAAGTCCGGAAAACTTCAAGATCCAAACTAATCCTTGTTGTAGCAAAGGATATCCTTCAAGATTAATCCAAAGTGAGCCAAATAATCACTTCCAAAATCACTTCCAGATTCAGATCCAATTTTGCACGAAAATGGAATGGTGAAATTGATCAAATTATGATAGTAAATGGAGGTTTTAGCTCAAGAATTCATTGATTCCAATGAAGAATCAATGAATTCAATTGAGAAGAGCTTTGAGTGAAGGTTTTTGGAGTTGGAAAATTGAGAGAGAATGAGATCAATTTTGAAAATGAAATGGAAATTATGAGAGTTTTCCCCTTTGGTTTGGAGTAGATCAAATATATACACCTTAGGTTTGGATCCAAATGAAAGGATTGGAAGTTGGTTTGGAAAATTTGGTATGGAATGAGGAATGAGAGTTTTGAGGGAAAATGGAATTAACCAAAATTTGAAAGAGGTTCTAGATCCTTCCCAAGTGTAAAAAGCTGAAATTCAAGTGATCAAAATTGGACCCCAAAGTGGACTGCCTTGAAAAGTCACGTACAAAGGCAAATTCTGCATTGGTTAATCGATTAATCATATAGGTTAATCGGTTAACACCTTCAAAAATCCCCTATTTGACCTGATTTGACTTGGTTAATCGGTTAACCATATGTGTTAACCGATTAACACCTTCAAAAATTTGAATTTGGCGCCTTTTGGAGGGAAACCTGTCTGTTTGCCCTGTTTCAACTGTTTTGAGCTCTTCTTAGCCTTTGGAACTTGTCCTTGAATATTATGATCATGAGGATGCCTGAGATAAGCCTGAATGCTATTTCTTAATCTGAAAAATGCCTGCAAAACAAAATAAAGTCGGCCGCCTGACCTCCGGGCAAAATAAATGCCAGAGCCTCTGATGCTCCCTGTTCGATCTCTTGCACTGAAAATGAAACTTGAGCCACATGAATGCCTTGATCCCATGCCTCGAGGACAAATTCTATGATATGCAAATGCAAAATGCAAAGAAACAAAAGTCAGGTACAAGAAAACCAGTTGGGCAAATTTTGGGGTGCTACACATGCCTACACGATTCTCCATATGGTTACACTCTACCATCTGCACTCTGTATGCCTATCATATGCGCTCTGATTCTATGCATGCTTACAAGATTCTTACCATATCTATACTCTACACTCTACATGCCTATTGTCTGCACTCTGCATGCCTACCATCTACACTCTGATTCTACATGAATGACAACACTACATTAATGTTTTTTACTTCACATGCATGATAATACTACACTTGCATGCTTCCCTTCACCATGTCATAATTCAGCATGCATGCTTGACAACACTACACTCTAGCATAAGATATATTTTCACAACACTCTGCATGAATGACAACACTACACTAATGTTTTTTACTTCACATGCATGACAAGACTACACTTGCACGCTTCCCTTCACCCGTGTCATAAAAATTCAGCATGCATGCTTGACAACACTACACCCTAGCATAAGATATATTTTCACAACACTCTGCATGAATGACAACACCATATCATGCATTTTCATGTGACTCCTGGACTTAGAAACTTGAACACTTTAACATGCATTTTCATGTGACTCCTGCACTTAGAAACTTACACACTTCAGCATGCATTTTCATGTGACTCCTCTCATCATATTTGACCATTATAAATACATGTTCATCAAGAAACAAACTCTTCTCATTCCATTACCAACTCTACTCCTCATACATTCTACAAAATCTTCTTGTCACCCTGCAAACTTCACTCAGCAAACTTAACCCACAATGTCTCTACTCACAATGGGCAACGATCACAGAGGCACAATTGAGAATATCGCAGAGTTTGTAAGTATTTTTCTTTTTGTTGTCGATCTTTACGAAGTTTAATTTTCCTTTAAACCTAATGACATTTATATTCTTTTGCAGGATGTATCAAGGTTTCACTGTCGTGTGCATGACTACATACCACACGACCCTTTAATAGAAGGATATCTTGAAGCATGTGGGTTCGGTGATTTGATCAAAATCAAATCGTACTCACTGGATCCCAAATTTATTCTAGCGTTGTTAGAACGCTGAAGACCAGAAACACACACATTTCACTTACCTTTTGGTGAATGTACCGTAACTTTACAAGATGTATACATGTTACTTAGCCTACACATCAACGGTAAGGTCGTCAACGATAAAGTTGGTGTTAATGACCAACTTTGCAAAGATTTACCGGGCGTCCCTCTATGTGTTGGCACACATCAGCCACAACGTGAGGGTCGACCGAGGGGGAAAGTATTAATTTTAAATACCTCAAACAGCAGTACAATAGTATCATGTTAAATGAGGAATCCATCGAGTATGAGAAGATACTTAAAACTCGGTGCTATATTATGATATTGTTTGACCATTTTTATTCCCAGACAATACTGGAAATAATGTAAATATTATGTATTTACCGTTGTTGCACAACATTAATAAAGTGTGCACATATAGTTGGGGTTCAGTTGTCCTCACTCATCTATATAGTGCATTATATAAAAATGCAAAAAATAAATCTTGTACTTTTTATGGCTGCGCTTATCTCCTTCAAGCGTGGGATTGGTCTAGGATGCCAACACTTGCTCTAGTCAACCGCAATCCATTCACATTCTCATACGCTAACGAGTAAGTTTATTTTCAAGACGAGTTTACAACCGAAGTTTCTTTGTAACTTAATTATTTGAACAGTTTCTTAGTATCTAATTTATTTGTGTTTCTTTTTTTTAGGTGGTCTGTTCTAGGAATGAATTACCAAAGATGTCCCAGGAACTCCATAATCGTTTACCGCAACCTTATTGAACACATTGGGTCAGATGATGTAATTTATCTACCATTACTTTGTCTAATTGATAAACACATACTTGTATTTCTCATTGCATATATTGTTAATACAGTTTGTCTGGTGACCGGGTGAAATTACAGTTCGAGATGTATCAGGATATTCTAGATGCTCCGACGTCATTGGGACACTGGCATTAGCTAAGGGTGGATACACAATGGAGTGTAAATCATTGGAAGGACTTTGCGAAAGAGATGTGTCTGCATTGGAAGAACCGACATCAACACATCTTAACCAACCCTATTGTGGAAGGGGCTAGACCAAGTTATCAATATATGATTTGGTTTAGGTCGGTTACAATCTCACAACCATTTGTGAATGAGTCGACATATTTGATTGACCCGAGGCAACATGCGTCTTCCTCGAATCCACCACAACAACTCAATGCCCAACATTAAACACCATGTTATACCTAACATCCAACTATACCCGCCTAATCAATCTTCCAAAACCACAACCCATACATGCCACCAACTCAATCACTACAATAAGAGCCTTACCCCTACCGTCAGCCTTCTAAAATCGACACCACTTCTGCATATAGCCCTGATACATCTTTTGACCCTACCCCATCCACCTATAGCCCAAATAACTCTTTTGACCCCACACCAGACAATCAATCTTTCTACCAACAAAATACCTATATACTTTTGACTACCAAACCCCACAACAACCAATACATCGTTTCCAAACCGATTCGATGTACCAATTCAGACAACTATACCATTCACACCACACCCAACTTCCCCGACAAAACTACGAAAACATGAGCAATAAACTTAATTACAGAAGTGCCGTTGACAGCGGTCAGCCCTGCTTTTGTGGTCAAATGCTTCAAAATTTATTTGATACGCTGGAGCTATCTCAACAAATACTTCTTTCACAGGTAAAGACGCAAAGACCAGATACACATCAACAACCTCGTGGTGGACCTCGACACCGCACGTATCCCCCACAATGTGGTACCGGTGGTCGTTTAGATAGAGTCGACCATTAATTTTCTTTTTTTCATCTATTGTAATTTATATTATATTATAAATTATTATAATTTACCATTTCTTGCATTTTTTTTAATTACTAAAAATGACAAATTTTATTATTTTTTTTAATTAAAAGTAAAAATAACTATATATTACATATTTAATATTAATTAAAAGTGATAAAATATAACAAATATCATAGATTAAAAAAAATATTAGAGTTATATTTTTTAAAATATAAAAAAATATAACAAATAATTTTAATAAAATTTTTAAAACAAATATAAAAATTTTTTAAAAAAAAACCTACATAAAATGCATCATATATGAAATGGCGAATCAAGTCTGAGAGACTTAAATAGTCATTTTATATGACGAATCTCTTAAAAATCCAACATAATTTTTTAAAAATAATTATTTATTTAAAATTAAAAAAAAATCATGTTATATTAAAAAAAAATCATAGAGAGTACATCACTAATACATTTTAGGTGACAACACATAGTTAACGGAAAATAAAGTCAACATTAACATATATCCGTGACAGCACATAACTAACGAAAAAATAAAGTCATTATATTGCCGTCAAGGTCTGTGTCCATAGAGGTTAAAAGGAAAGATCGGTCTTCGCTACCTAAACAACGCACGATTATCTGAATTCTGATTCCTTCTGTCTTGTCAAGTATCGATGGATAGCGACGACGAAGAAAAGGCTTATGCTGAGTATCGGGAGCGATCTCGCAACCTAAGTGTATGGTTTCTTTCTGTCTATTGTTCCTTTCGCACCCTTAAATAATTCTGTGTTTCACTTAACCTGCTTTTTTGATTCTGGACAGCCTTTCGATGCTATCGAACCTCCACCATGTCTATGCGGCGGTATCAGCCCCCTTCGCGTAACTAATGAAGTTCGGCGTAATCTCACTCCTCTCTGCGAGCTTGCGTTAGACAAGTACAACACCGAACAGGTTCCAAACTTAACACAACTACACTATATCATAGTATGTTTATTTATTCGAAATTACAACACTGATTATTATTTCTTATCTAGGGTACCAATTTTGTGTTTGTTGATATTGTCAAGTCAACCCATCAAGGTGTTGCTGGTACTAATTATTACATCACCTTTCAAGCAAATTCTCCAAACTGCCCTCTTGTGACTTTCCAGGCCTGTGTTTGGGTTAAGTTGCCCTGTTATGGAGGACAGGCTGTTGTCCAGTCTTGTGCTATCAAGCCTACCTAAGCATCACATACAGAACACCATGGTAATAATGTTGCAACAGGGCTATGTATGCTTATTGCTTACATATTTAACTTTGGTTATGGTTTTTTATTTTGAAATTATATTTGATTATAGTATTTGAAATGTGCTTCGGCCTTTTTTTTTCTCAAGAAAATCACTAATTACTACATATTGAAGTTAATAATGAGTAGAGAAACCCGCATTAGGCCTGGCAATACTAAGTTTCAAAAGAGATTGGAATTTGTTGATAAATCATCATCTGGTTCATTTCTGTAGATGTCTACCGACACAAATATTGAACACTGACATTGATATGTCGGCAAACGAAATACTTTTAAAAAAATTTATAAACTTAACAGATTCATATTCGTCGTCGTCATGTCTGAAGTTGAAACCACACACGTTTGTTTAGAGGTATTGTTAGAGGTATTGTTATTGAGCTTTGTCTAAAGGTGTTGACTGAGGTTTATATATTTTCATTAACATCACTCAGTGGGAAGTGTATTTTGATGCTGACTACACAATACTAGTATTAGAGGTGTGTGCGAACTGAAGGCACCTCATTATGAGATGCTGACTTTAGAATATACTAAATTGAAGGAATGTATTTAATATTATTGTGTAGTGTTTATAAGTCAGAAATAACTATGACCTGCAAATCACACCCTCAAACAAAAGAATACCATGTTGTTCTGCACTTCTATTCTTTGGCAAAACATCCATCTACACCAAATTCCCATAACTTATTAACCTCTCCTCCTTATTAAGGTTCATTTGGCTGAACCTATAATACTTCAGCATCCAGTCAATCACAATTACCGGTGGTAGCAACCTCATGGCTCTAGGCCACCACTTGAGTTGAGTTACCAGCATAGCCAACTACCGGCACCTCCAACACAATGGCCCATTCAAAGCTATAAGTTACAAACTTGGTACCCATATGTGGGTGCCAAATATCTTGTCACTGCAGAATGGGTTATCAATTGCAGGGTTAAAATTCAGTTACTTCTTTCCTTGCAAATTCTTATGATATTTGAGAGCATTTTAGTCAATTTTCTTATGAAAAAAAATAGTGAACTCACTGTAATTGTGTTACATCCTTCCCATTTAAAGTCGCTGGGATAATTCTTATATAAAAAAAACTATAACACATGATTATATCCATAACCAATCACATATTTTTTATTAATTAAAAAAATGAAAATAATTTTTTTTTATCTCATTCATATCACAATCACTTTATAATTTCAATTAAAAAAGAAATTAAATTTTAAATAAATTCAAAAAATTTCTCTGAATGTTATAAAAATATAGATTTATATGTGTTTTCATTATTTCTCCGCCCACTGATCCAACATAGACTAAATAGAGAAACCAGCATTAGGCCTGGCAATACTAAGTTTCAAAAGAGATTGGAATTTGTTGATAAATCATCATCTGGTTCATTTCTGTAGATGTCTACCGACACAAATATTGAACACTGACATTGATATGTCGGCAAACGAAATACTTTTAAAAAAATTTATAAACTTAACAGATTCATATTCGTCAGTGTCATATCTGAAGTTGAAACCACACACGTTTGTTTAGAGGTATTGTTACGGGTGTTGGTGTTATTGAGCTTTGTTTAAAGGTGTTGGTGTTTCTGAGGTTTAAATATTTTCATTAACATCACTTAGTGGGAAGTGTGTTTTGATGCCGACTACACAATACTAGTACCAGAGGTGTGTGGGAAGTGTGTAGTGTTTATAAGTCAGAAATAACTACGACCTGCAAATCACACCCTTAAATAAAAGAATACCATGTTGTTCTACATTTCTATTCTTTGGCAAAATATCCATCTACACCAAATTCCCATAACTCACTAACCTCTCCTCCTTATTAAGGTTCATTTGGCCAAACCTATAATACTTCAGCAACCTCATGGCTCTAGGCCACCACTTGAGTTGAGTTGCCAGCATAGCCAACTACCGGCACCTCCAACACAATGGCGCATTCAAAGCTATAAGTTACAAACTTGGTACCCATACGTGGGTGCCAAATATCTTGTCACTGTAGAATGGGTTATCGGTTGCAGGGTCAAAATTCAGTTACTTCTTTCCTTGCAAATTCTTATGATATTTGAGGGCATTTTAGTCAATTTTCTTATGAAAAAGAGTAGTAAACTCACTGTAATTGTGTTACATCCTTCCCATTTAAAGTCGCTGGGATAATTCTTATATAAAAACAACTATAACACATGATTATACACATAACCAATCACATATTTTTTATTAATTAAAAAAATGAAAATAATTTTTTTTATCTCATTCATATCACAATCACTTTATAATTTCAATTAAAAAAGAAATTAAATTTTAAATAAATTCAAAATTTTTCTCCGAATGTTTATAAAAATATAGATTTATATGTGTTTTCATTATTTCTCTGCCCACTGATCCAACATAGACTAAATAGAGAAACCAGCATTAGGCCTGGCAATACTAAGTTTCAAAAGAGATTGGAATTTGTTGATAAATCATCATCTGATTCATTTCTGTAGATGTCTACCGACACAAATATTGAACACTGACATTGATATGTCGGCAAACGAAATACTTTTAAAAAAATTTATAAACTTAACAGATTCATATTCGTCAGTGTCATATCTGAAGTTGAAACCACACACGTTTGTTTAGAGGTATTGTTACAGGTGTTGGTGTTATTGAGCTTTGTTTAAAGGTGTTGGTGTTTCTGAGGTTTAAATATTTTCATTAACATCACTTAGTGGGAAGTGTGTTTTGATGCCGACTACACAATACTAGTACCAGAGGTGTGTGGGAAGTGTGTAGTGTTTATAAGTCAGAAATAACTACGACCTGCAAATCACACCCTTAAATAAAAGAATACCATGTTGTTCTACATTTCTATTCTTTGGCAAAATATCCATCTACACCAAATTCCCATAACTCACTAACCTCTCCTCCTTATTAAGGTTCATTTGGCCAAACCTATAATACTTCAGCAACCTCATGGCTCTAGGCCACCACTTGAGTTGAGTTGCCAGCATAGCCAACTACCGGCACCTCCAACACAATGGCGCATTCAAAGCTATAAGTTACAAACTTGGTATCCATATGTGGGTGCCAAATATCTTGTCACTGTAGAATGAGTTATCGATTGCAGGGTCAAAATTCAGTTAATTCTTTCCTTGCAAATTCTTATGATATTTGAGGGCATTTTAGTCAATTTTCTTATGAAAAAGAGTAGTAAACTCACTGTAATTGTGTTACATCCTTCCCATTTAAAGTCGCTGGAATAATTCTTATATAAAAACAACTATAACACATGATTATACACATAACCAATCACATATTTTTTATTAATTAAAAAAATGAAAATAATTTTTTTTTATCTCATTCATATCACAATCACTTTATAATTTCAATTAAAAAAGAAATTAAATTTTAAATAAGTTCAAAATTTTTCTCTGAATGTTTATAAAAATATAGATTTATATGTGTTTTCATTATTTCTCCGCCCATTGATCAAACATAGATTAAATTTAAAATTGATATGTTTTAGTTTAAAATTTTGAAAATGTAAAGTTATTTATTAAATCTTTGTAATCGATTTTGTTTAAAATTTTATCTTCTATTGATAATAAAATCAAAACTTTTTTGAAAAACCCACTAAAAAAAAGTATTGCCGAAATTCTTTAAAAAAAATATTTAGAATCCGAGGATTTAAAATTGTGTTATCTACCATGTGGTTTTTAAATTAATCAATTCTATAAAACACATTGAAAAAAATTATTATTATCTTACACATTTTAAATAGAATTTTTTTTATATTCCATAAATTTTATTATTTAATTGTCACATGAAATAATCTAAGAAATTATTGTTATTTTGTTAAAGAGTCAACTAATTAAAACAAGAAATTAAATGTTAAAGAGGCAACTCGCCACAAGTGTTTCTCTTGATCGTCATTTTAATATGTATGATCTCTTTGTCTGTGTTCATATTCTTTTCGTGAATTTTTATTTTTTTAAACTTTTTCTTTTCAATAAATTTTTTTTAGTATTATTATAAAATAGTTTTGATACGTGTTTGAGGTGTGAAACATCGTTCTATTTGTTGAGCTTTCAAGTTTTTTTCAAGTCATTTGATGTCAAATGTCAACTTTTATGTTTGATAGCAAATTTGTTTCATGATTTCAATGTAAATCATGTCACTGTTTCGTATGAATTAAGAACAACTTGTAATTTGTTTGTAAAAATAGAGTATAAAATAAATTATACGAATATATTATTTTTAAAAATAATAGCATAAAATATGCCGAAAAACACGATAGTGGAGAATACACTAATGAATATAATATTTGAAAAAATATTGTAAACCGATCAATCAAACCAAATTTGTTAGTTTGGTTTGGTTTCATTTTTTAAAAATGTTAAAAACCCAGATTGAGACTTCCTTGCCTAAACTCCGTGTTCAGGACTTCCTGCTCAATCACCCAGATTAAGACTTCCTTGCCTGAACTACCTGTTAAGGACTTCCTGCTCAAGCCTTCACGCATGAGACTTTCTGCTCAATCACACTGATCGAGACTTTCTTTCTCTGCCCGCAAGCATGAGACTCCAATGCCTAAACATTCAGTTCAAGACTTTTTCCTCAATCATCAAAAAGAGACTTTACTTTGAGAATAGAGGCTAAAGTATTAACCTTGTGTTCATATAAGTGTTTTTTAGATAAGAAAATACGCAAAAGTTTACACTCTTAAGCAGATTTGAGTTGATTGCTCCTGAGTGTAGAAGAATGAAATTTTCATTCTTCTTTTCTCCTTGCACAAATTTTCATCTTGTTGTGCCTTTCTGTTCTGATGAACATATTCACATATTCTATCCTAAGAGTGTATGTGAACATGTTTCACTATGCTCTCACACACTTAACCTTTCTAGTTATATATTATTTTGAAGTGTGTTTCTCTCAACTCATTTTAGTGAATTGGTATCACAT